GATAATTCCCAGTAATACAACACAAAGTTGAAAGGTCCAGCCCATTTGAGAGGATGCAGTGTGTTTCCCCAGTGCCACATCTCTGCCATCCATACATTGCTTTCCTGGGACAATTTCTTTATGGTTTCTCTGTTTCAGGGGCCTAGGCTTCAGAACTGTGCAATGAATCATGTCCTTGTACAATATGTACTGGTCCATTAGTAAACTGACAGAAAATGGTTGTCAGGGCAAACTCTTCTGCAAGATGAACGCTCTGCTGTGTAGCAGCCCTGATTAACATCTACTTCTCTAGCAGTATTCATTATAATGACTAATTCTTAACTTAATGAACACATCAACTACCATAGCAATAGCTTTATCATTAATGGGAAACATTTTTCTCATTAGGTAGAGAAAGGCAAATTTCCCAACCATATCACATCCAACAATTTCTTTAGTCTTTCTGCATAGTATCTATTTCAAATCTTCCCTGCTGTTTTATCTACCCCACCTCCTTTTAAAAAATGGTTTCTAATCTTGATTTTCTATGAAAGTAGCCATCTGACAGATATTCTTCAAAGTCTTCCTTCCAACTTCCTGATCTCCACCATCTTGATTAGGTCTATAGCAGGCTCATGTCTTTTGTTTCGCACCTACACACCTTGAGGAGTGAGTGATGGTATCACCATGGCATTCTTTCTTGTCCCCTAAGGTCTCTGGCCCTGTCACTTATCCCCATTATCTCCTGCAGCTTCAAAATTCTCCACCATGTACTTTCCCATGAGCTTTTAATTGATCTGGTCTTTTCCATCCTGCAAATATCCTCCCCAAGTTCCAGTAATGGGCTGAGTGTTAACGTTCCTCCCAGATTCATATGTTGAAATCCTAATCCCCAAGGTGATAAAACCAAGAGGTAGAGGCTTTGGTGAATGATTAGATTATAAGGGTGATGTTCTGATGAATGGGATTAGTGCCTTCTCAAAAGAGGACCCAGAGAGCTGGTTACTTCCTCTCACCATGTAAGGATGCAGCTAGAATGGACTCTATGAAAATGAAGATGGGCTCCCACCAGAAGGTAAATCTACTGCCACCTTGATCTCAGCCTTCTTCTCAGCCTCCAGAACTCTGAGAAATCAAGGTCTGTTGTTTGCATGCCACACAGCCTATGGTGCTGTGTTTGGCAGACCAAACCAACCAAGACCATCTCATTCTTACTCTCACAACAACCTTGTCATGCCACTCATTGTGGTCAAACTTGGGAGAATTGTTCACACCAGCTGACTTGATTTTCTGAGCTCTCAAGCCTGTGCTCCTCAACCTTCAGAGGTCTGCTCTCTCCCTCCTTCTTTCCATGGGAACTCTTTGGCCTAGATCACCAGCAACATTTTTGTTAATATATTTTAACTTTTTCAGTCCCTATCTGTACTTACTATTTTTGACTACTTCCCCTACCTTGAGACACTCCCTTTCCTTTATTTCCTGGTTTCCTTCCCTACCTTTCTGGCACTTCTTGATTTGCTTTGCTGGATCAGTCTCATTTATCTAAGTTTTAAATGTGTGAGGTCCTCAGAATTTGGAGTTGGACATTTCTCCATCCTTACCCTGTCTTCCTGGGTTAATCATCCATTCCAATGGGCTTCCGTGAGCTTCTAAATAGGGTTTCTGATATGGATACATGAATGCAATTCAGGGATGTTAAACACAAATGAATAAAGATGGGAATTTTATCTTTATTAATCTCTAATGAGAATTTAATCTTTCTCCCACTTATGAATATGGACAACAAATCAGGATGACTAGGGTCTGTGACTTGGTCATTAGTTAAAATCACATATATTTTTATATACTACCACTAGAGGAGATATCTCAAAGTATTGTTCATGCTTATCATTTCAGTTTATAGTAATGATTAGGTCTGCCTCTGAATGTTTTTATTTAATGGCTCTGTAATTATATATACATATTACTGTGTCACAAAGTTTTTATTTTATACCTATATTTTAGTATAAGCTGGTTTCATTTTATCTATTCAAAAATATTTTCTGAGAAAAGACCATGGGCTTCCCAGACATGCAACAGTACAAAGCATTAAGAAGCTCTTTTCCAGATGCTGGTGACTCTAAGCTTGAATCCACCTTCTGAACTCATAGTTTATCTACTTAACTGATTCCTGAACTTCTATATTTAGATATCTCATGGGAACTTCAAGCTCAACATGCTCCAAATGGAACTTTTCAGTTCTACCACCGTCATTCTTCTCAAAGCTGAAATTTCTCTTGGGTCCTCTGTCTCGATAAATGGGATCAGTAGCCACCTCACTGACATGCCAGACTCCTGAACTGTCCTTGCTTTCCTTTCCTTTACTCCATTAATCATTCAAGAAGCAATAATGTCAATGAAGAAATGATTAGACATCAAACAATTATCAGAAGATAAATTCATCCATTTACTTCCATTGCCAATACCTCAGTTTTGTTAACCATCCCATCTCTTCTCTCTAACTGGTCTCCTTTCTTTTTCTTTTTTTTTTTTTTGTTTTTGTACCAGAAACTGAACTCAGGATCTCGTGCTTGCCAGGCAGGCACTTGTGGTACTGAGCTATATCTCTGCCCCCTGCTCTCCTTTCTAATCCATTCTTTGTTATTGACCTTTCTCTACCTAAACACTGTGCTTAACTTCACACACACACACACACACACACACACACACACACACACACACACACACATATATATATATATAATTTGAATGTAAGTTCCATGATTGTAAGCATTTTTATATTGATGATTTGGGCATCTGCAACAGGAAGAATGGTGTCAGACATATAGGAACACTCTATGAATGTTTGCATGAATGTTTACTAAGTAAATGAACATTTGGTCCAGGTTTCAACCTGATGGTTAACAGCAGCTCAATAAAAAGTTTAAAGGAACTAGGTATGCTGGTGGAGGCCTGTAATCCTAGCACTGTGAGAGGCTGAGGTATGAGGGTTGCAAGTTCAAGCTCAGCCCTGGAAATTTATTAATTTAACGAGATTCTGCTTCTAAGGAAAAAATAAAAGAACAGGTTGGGGATGTAACTCAGCCTGGGGTTCAGTCCCCAGTACCACACACACAAAAAAGTCAAGGGAATAGCCAAAATATGAATTCGTAAAAATTCCTACAGATTTATACCCCCGGATGACTATTCTTCTGTCATTTAAGACAAGAACCACAACAAGGCTGTGTCTTAGTTAAGACATCAATAACAAAGTACCATACATTGGATAGTACATAAACAACAGAAGTTTATTCCTTACAGCTCTAGAGGCTGCAAGTCTGAGACCGGAGTGCCAGCAGGATCAGGTTCTGATGAGTACCTTCTAGGTTGCAGGTTGAATCTCAGGAGAAGGAATAAGAAAGACTGTTGGACCTCTTGGATTTCAAAAGATGACCATACAGCTGTTTGTTGTAAACATATTCTTCAAAGCAAGGGAAAAGTGAAGCACTAGATGATTCAGAGATCATCAGGGCTATCTCATGGTGGAGAGGCATCACCTTGCTTTCAAGAGGCCAGAAGACTTCTGCTAACAGTCATAAATAAGGAACTGCCAAGTGGCAGTTTTTCTGCTGGGGTAGCTGATCAAATCTGTGGTTCACACGTAGATTAATCTACTTACTGAAAGGTCCATCGGGTACAACGGTAGTGTTTTCTGACTACTTCCTCATTTCTACAACATAAATAGGAAGACATTTTTCAAATTTTTACATTCTAGTTCCTTTTTGCTTAATAATTCTATCTTCAAGTTGCTTTCTTCCTTCTTGCATTTTACTAAAAGCAGTCAGGAGGAATCATGCCATTCCTTCAACATTTTGCTTAGAAATCTCAGCTGCATATTTAATTTCATTGCTTGCAAGTTCTACTTTGCACAGAATACAGTTCAGCCAACTTAGTTCACGTTAATAATGAGGATTTTATTTTCTCCATTGTCCAATAGCATGTTCCTCATTTTTGAGACCACATCAGAATGGCTTTTACTTTCTACCAATATTCCAGAAATGATTATTTATGTACTCTCTAAGAAATGGATGTTTTCATCTCTCTCCTTTCAAAGGCTTCACCAGAATCATCTAAGCCCATTCACAACAATCTCAGGTTCTTCAAAATTCTTTCAGCCTCTACACAGTACCCAGTTCTGAAACTGCTTCCATATTTTTGCAGATTTTTTACAACAGTACCTCATTTCTTGGTCCCAATTCCTGCCTCAGTTCAGAGTGCTATAACATATTATCATAGACTGAGTGACTTATAAACAACAAACATTTATTTCTCACAGTTCTGGAGACTGGAAATTCACAAATGTGGTTGGGTTCTAGTGAAAGTTCTCTTCTGGACCAGACTGATGACTTACTCTTAAACTCTCATGTTATGAAAAGAAGGAGCTAGCTTTCTGGCCTCTTCTTTATAATGGCACTAATATCGTTCATGAGGGCTTCACCCTTATGACTTAATTATATCTCAAGGCTCCACTTTCTAGTACCATCACACTGGTATTAAATTTCAACATATTAGCTAGGCATGGTGGCACGTGCCTGTAATCCCAACACTTGGGAGGCTGAGGCAGGAGGATCACTATGAGTTCAAAGCCAGCCTGAACTATAAAGTGTCCTTGTGTCATTTATTTATTTATTTCAACATATGAAGTATGAAAAGACACAAACATTCAGTTCACAGCAGGGTGTAAAGTGCCTTCTTACTGTTTAATAAGGAGAAATTCTCCTTTAATTTCTAGAAATACACCTTTAATTTCCCATTTCCTACTACCTTATCTAACTGTTCCTTCTGTGATTAATAGTGCTTCAGTTTTGTTTTAAATTTGATAGTGTCTAATATGAAGATGAAATAAAGCATTAAAAGTTATTTGATAAAACTTACACACGTATCTGATATTTATGCTGTCACAATATGATGCAGTGTGACAGTGATGTCACAAACCCCTAGAACAGACTAAACCACATAAATTGCAGCAGTTACTGAGCAGAGGCAACATTTGAAGTAGGCCTTAAACATGAATCTTTTGATTTATGTCCTACTTCTGTCCATTTGGACAACTAAATGTTCAAATATAAGCAGACATAATGAATCTTCTACTGTAGGTATGTATCTGACTTTAAAATTTATAAGTTATGAGCTATTATATTATTCATTCAAATAGATAATTTAAAAGGCTATCTCTATTAAATAAATCTGTTGTTACTTTGATTTTACTAGCAGCAGCAGCAGTACCAGTACTAGTACTAGTAGAAGTAGTAGTAGTAGTAGTAGTAGTAGTAGTAGTAGTAGTAGTAGTAGAATTTCTATCATAAAAGCTGATACTTTTATTTCGGTGTGAAAAACATTAGCTAAATATAACCCTAAAGAATATAAACTACAAGTCTTCTTTACTTCCCTCTCTCACCAAATCCCCCAACCAAACTAAACAATACAATGTAAATGAATTTGACACAGGTTTTACCAAACAGTAGGTTTTTGTTTGCTTTTTTTTATTTCAAAGAGAAAAGAACAAAAACAAATTAACAAACACAAAGAAATAAACAAAGCAATATGAAAACAATATAAGCTATACAGAATTTCAGACAAGATGATAGGAAATTAACAATGGTTGTATTACATAGAGTTATCTTCAAACTGGTTACTCAGATAAACAAAAATAGGCATGCAAGATTGATCAAACAATTAAACATTAACTGTTAATTTCGATAAAGCAATAGAAATTAGTAGTACAATTATTGAGCTGTCATATGTATATGTGTGTATATAAATATATATATAT